TGCTGTAAAGCTGGGCCAGCCCAAGAATGCGAAAAGATTTGCTTTTCTTCCGACCTTCTCCACGGGCATTTAACCTTCCTCCTACAAAATAGCTCCCCACGTCGAGTCCATACCCGGACCTGCTCGTATGGGCTGCTGTAAGACTGGGCCGGCTAGAGAAGGTGAAAGGATCTGCTCACACTACAAAAAAATTGAAATTTAGCTAAAAAAAAAAATTTGTGGCAAAAGGTGATAATTTGTAGCAAAAATATTTATAACTTTCATAATAAAAGAAAAATGGTTTTTGGCAATTAAAGTTAAGATAATAGATATAGCTACACAAATATAATTTTGTAGCTAAAGATTTTTCGCTATAAAATTAAATTTCATAAAAGAAGAGTTTTAGCAATAAAATATGTAAGATTGTTTTAGCCAATAATTTTTGTAACACTCCGGCCGGCTCAAACCGGAGCGTCACTGCCACGCCACACCGGAAGACTCGTTCATCAACCAACGAGTTCTACGTTGTGGCCCTAAGGCTTAAATAATAAATACCAACAACAAATAGGAACTTAGAATTAAAGCGCACCGGCTCGTCAATTAAGTAAATAAAGTTCAATTTAAAACATAAACTGGAAATAGTTCAAAATGCATTAGTCTTTAAACACAATCAATGAATTTCAAAATATTTTAGAAGGTAAGGTAGTTCTCATTTCCCCCGATGGATCACATGATGTGAATGCATCATTTAGGCATAACGGAAGCATGATCACCTACAAAAAGAATCGTAAGAAGGGGGTCAACACAACGGTTGAGTAAACGCAATTAATCGAAGATAAATTAATACGATATAATGCCACAAAATCATTTGAAGAAGATAGTCGAATAAAATGACACGTATCACATAAGGGGAACTCACACACACGAGTCTTTTAGAGCCTCCCTTATACCTCTTTTTCATTCTCAAATAATAGTGATGAGCACATCACGAAGAAAACTCCACTAGGCCTTAATCAGGGCCGGCTCGACCCGGTTTTCCAACCTGATTACTTCGTATGACACGTCACATAATTTCAAATAACAAACATAGGGTCATAACCCTCAAAGGAAACTCCACAATGTGTACATAAGGGTTCGAAATCAAAAGTACACGTAAATCAATTTATTATTAGTTGGCGAGGGGTGCCATACGGCCCACAACCCTCTAGTCTCCAATATAACATACCAAGAGGGGATTGTACGCAATCTATCCCTCCATCACGGATGACGGTCTAAAGACCTTTCCATCGTGAATGACGGGCACCTCGGGATCACCCTAAAAGGGAACCCGCCATCTCGATCTCTCGACCTAGCCCATTCGGGATCTAGTTCAAGGTTAGCTAGTTATCCTAAAATACCGGTATACCCTCACGTGTTTGCAAGGCACAGAGGTGGAAGGCTATGCCTTATCATCCAAACAATCGACGAGTTGATCGGACTAGACGGGTAGTTTCAATTACCAATTTGACAAAATACTCAACATGCTCTTAGGCAAATTTCAAAAAGAGTGTTTTAAACTCAAAATATTCCAATTGGCAACATTTAATCAATCAAAAGTAGGATATTAGACCCAACAAGTTCGTTATAATCACACTTTATTTCGCCAAATAAACATTCGAAAAATATTTCAATCACAATAGGCATGGTCTAATTCCAAAAATCATGATATTTAAATATAATCATAAATCATTTTCCAAAAACGATAACTAGGTTAGGGCAAAACTAGGGTTTCAAACTCATCCAAAAAATTCTACGATTTTCAATTTAAAATTCAATAATAATCTTCACATAAACATTATAATCAACTTTTTAGAAGAAATTGGCAAAACTAACACTTTTGGGGCAAACCCATTTGACAAGAATATTGAAAAAGATATCAATAGAAGGGTCTAGGGATTAGAACATATGAATCTATCTAAGATTAATCCCACTTACCTCAAGAGAAGAGACCAAAATGAAGAATTTTGGAGAAGAAGAACTCTAAGGGAGAGCAGGGGCTGGCGGCGGCGCTGGCGGGCGTGCTGGCTGCTGCTGCTGCTCCTTTTTTTTCATCCTTCTATTTAACATAACATACTTAATCCTTTATTAATTATTTTATTTTACTTTGGCCCAAACTCAATTTTTACTTCTAATTTAAACCCAACTCTTTAATTTATTACACTAAAAGACCAAAATAAATTATGCCCAAAATGAAATTTGTCCGACTCCGGCAAACTTCCGGCGATTATTTTAAGGAGTATTACATCCTTCCCCCCTTAGGACATTTCGTCCTCGAAATCGATCTGCACGCCCGGAGCTACCTCAAACAACTATGGATACTTTCTTCGCATTTCTTGCTCGGTTTCCCATGTCACTTCTTCAAACCCATGCCGCGACCACACTACCTTCACCATCCTTATCTCACGGTTCCGCGTCGATCTAACTTTGAAAGCCACAATCTGAATAGGTTGCTCTAAGTACACCAAATCCTCCTGAAGATCCAAGACTTCCGGCTGAAGTATATGAGATGGGTCAGCCACGTATCTCCTCAATTGAGAGACATGAAAAACATCGTGAACCCTCTTCAATGCCTCCGGCAAAGCCAACCTGTAGGCCTCCTCTCCAATCCTTTCGATGATCTCGTACGGCCCTACATACCTCGGGCTCAACTTTCCCTTAATACCAAATCTCCTCACACCCTTCGTCGGTGAGACCTTAAGTAATACATGATCACCCACCTTAAAATGCCCATCCCTCCGAGCAAGGTCGGCATAACTTTTCTGGCGATCTTGGGCGGCTTTTATCTTAGCCTTGATGTTACGAATCTGATTCATCATCTCCTCAATCATTTCGGGCCCCAATACAACCCTTTCGCTTAGGTCACTCCAACACAACGGCGTTCTACACTTCCTCCTATACAAAGCCTCAAAGGGTACTATCCCAATGGTCGTTTGATGGCTATTATTATAGGAGAACTCCACTAGAGCCAACTGATCCTCCCATCGGCCTTGAGAATCCAATGCACAAGCTCGCAACATATCTTCCAAAATCTGAATGGTGCGTTCAATCTGCCCATCGATCATCGGATGAAAGGCTGTACTCATCCTTAACCGAGTACCGAACTCTTTCTGAAGCTTTTGCCAAAAATGCGACTGAAAACGGGGGTCGCTGTCCGAGACAATCACCTCCGCAACTCCATACCTCTTCACCACGTGCTGGATATACAACCTTGCCAACTTCTGCATGCTTCAAGTCATGTTTATCGGGATAAAAACTGCTGTCTTAGTCAATTGATCAACAACTACCCAAATGGCATCCGCGCTTGATCTCGACTTTGGTAATCCGGTCACAAAATCCATCGCAATCGAGTCCCACTTCCATTCCGGAACTTCCAACGGTCTCAACAAACCCATAGGTCTCTTATGCTCCGCCTTGACCTTTTGGCAAATCAAACACTTGGCGACATACTCTGCAATGTCCCTTTTCATACCGCGCCACCAAAAATGTCCTTTCAAATCTTTATACATCTTATCGCAACCGGGATGCACTGAATATGGAGAACTATGAGCTTCTTTAAGTATCCTTTCCTTAATATCCAACCGATCCTTGGGTACACACCATCTATCTCGAAATCTTAGGCTTCCATCCCGACCAACATGGAATTCGCTTATTTCACCTTGTTGCACCTTTATCGCTAAGTTGAGTAAATCATCGTCATCAATTTGAGCCTCCCGAATCTCCCTCAAAATCTCGGGCTCAACTAACAAGGCACCCATATATCCTTCAATCATCTTAGGACCCACTACCTCAATTTGTAGATTCTCGAACTCATGACACAACTCTACGGGTAATGTCATCGAACATACGTCATGACTTGACTTCCGACTCAAAGCATCAGCAACCACATTCGCCTTGCCTTCCTGATATACAATATCCAAGTCATAGTCCTTTACTAATTCCAACCACCTCCGTTGTCTTAGATTCAACTCTCTTTTAGTGAATATGTATTTCAAACTCTTATGATCGGTGTAAATTTTGCAATAAACTCCATAAAGGTAATGTCGCCATACCTTGAGAGCAAACACGACAGCCGCCATTTCCAAGTCGTGAGTTGGATAGTTCTCTTCATGCAATTTAATCTGCCTCGAAGCATATGCTATCACCCTTCCATCTTGCATCAACACGCACGCCAATCCTCGTCTTGACGCATCACAATACACATCGAACTCTCGGCCATCTATCGGTAATGCCAATACCGGTGCAACTGTCAACCTCCGTTTCAACTCTTGAAAAGCTTGTTCACATGATTCACTCCACACTACTTTGACATTTTTCTTCAACAACGATGTCAATGGACTTGCCAATCGTGCAAAGTCTTGTACAAACCTCCGATAATACCCGGCCAACCCCAAAAAGCTCCTAATCTCTGTCTGCGTCTTTGGTCGGGGCCAATTTTCCATAGCGCTCACTTTTAATGGGTCGACCGAAACACCATCCCTCGAAATAAAATGCCCCAAAAATGCTACTTCGTTCAACCAAAACTCACACTTAGACAGTTTAGCATACAAGTGATGCTCCCTCAAAACTTGTACCACTAACCTGAGGTGATTCGCGTGATCCTCCTCGCTCGAAGAATACACCAATATATCATCAATGAAGACCACAACGAACTTATCCAAATATGGTCTGAAGAATCTATTCATCAAGTCCATGAAGGCAGCTGGAGCATTCGTCAACCCAAATGACATCACCGTAAACTCATAGTGCCCATAACGAGTTCGAAACGCTGTCTTCGAAATATCGCTGTCTGAAATCCAAAGCTGATGACATGCCGACCTCAAATCTATCTTCGAGAATACGCTTGCTCCCTTCAGTTGATCAAAGAGGTCGTCGATCCTTGGAAGAGGATACTTATTCTTAACGGTAACTTGATTTAATCCTCGATAATCAATGCACAACCGAAGACTACCATCCTTCTTCTTAACGAATAGAATGGGCGTTCCCTAAGGAGAATTACTCGGCCGGATATACCCTTTTTCCAACAACTCTTGAAGCTGCTCATTCAATTCGGCTAACTCCTTAGGTGCCATACGGTAGGGAGCCTTAGACACCGGTTCTGCTCCTGGAATTATATCAATCGTGAAATCTATCTCACGGTGAGGCGGCATACCTGGTATCTCATCAGAAAATACATCCGCAAACTCTTTTACCACCGGCATGTTCAAAAGCTGACTCCCATCTCCCAAGACATCATGCACTTCACATAGGAACAACGGGTGACCTTTACGAGTTAACTCATGCAGAGAGACAACAGACACTATCTTAATCGATGGGCGATAAGGAATCTCCTCATACACAACTTCTCCACCGCAAGGGCTCCGAAGAAAGATCTTTCTCCCACCATAATCTATTCTGGCCTGATAGGTAGCCAACCAATCCATACCCAAAATGATATCGAACTCCGCCAATTTAAGCTTCAAAACATTAGTAGGGAATTCTATGCCTCCGATCATTATAGACACTCCTACGAAAAGACAATTGCAAGGCACTAGCTCTCCTGAAGAAAGCCTAATCTCCACCGAAACCTCTACTCGAGAATCTAATTCGAACCTCTTAGCACATCTACTCGATATGAAAGAAAGGGATGCACCGGAATCAAAGAGAATAACCACAGGTAAATAATTCACCAAGAACGTACCGGTCATGACGTCTCCCTGGTTCTCCACAACTTGCCCTCTCGTCATGACATTAATGTGACCTTTCTGGCCACTCCTTCCCCCTCCTCTTGCACGCCGAGGTGCCAATGGCAATGTACGACCTTGCTGCTGTGGAACCGGGGTCCTCTCAAATGCATTCGGAGCTCCAACTAACTTGGGGCAAAACCTCTTAACATGTCCCGGCTCATGGCAGTAATAGCAAGTGATGGGCTGGCCGTCACAACGAACTCCAGGATGAGATATTCCACATCTGCTACAAACAGTCGGACCTCCACGATTGTCACTCGAATTCCCCTGAGTGAATTTAGGGCGAGATGCATAGGGTGTACCCGAAAACCTCTCCGATTGATCCTTTTGGTTATAGTTCTTCAAACCCTCGCTCACCTTCCCTTTTCCTCTATCTGCCATGCGGGCCCCATCCCTCCGCTCATCATACGCTATTCGATTTGCCTGATAGATGTTAGCTGCTTTCTCGTACGCCTCTTGAAGGGTCGACACACTGAAGCCGGCTAAGAACCGCTGAAGGTCTCTATTCAGTCCACAAAAAAATCTTGTCAGTTTGCACTGATCATTCGCTGCCAAATCCGGAGCGTAGGCAGCCAATTCATTAAAACGCGTGAAGTATTCTTCCACCGTCATATTGCCCTGCACCAAGGCACTAAACTCATCCTCTTTTGCTCTCTGAATGTGCGGTGGATAAAAGCGCGCCCTTATCATCGTCTTGAATGCCTCCTACGGTAATCCAACCAAATTGCTCCCGGAAGCCTTCTCATTATTCCACCACTTATTGGCTAGTCCTTCTAAATAATATGCAGCTATCATCGTCTTATCTCCTTCCGGGCATTTTACCACCTCAAATATAGTCTCCAAATGATCCAACCATTCTCCCAAAATAGTCGGGTCCGATTGACCCGTGAAAGTCGGAGGACTATGACGTAACACCGCATCCATAGCACTCCGGGGCTGCTGAGTGAACTGTCCCATAAATTGACGAAAGATCTCCAATGTCGGGTCTGACGGTCGAACGGGATCCTGAACTGGAGGCTCGGGGTTTTGGGATTGCCTACTCTCAACCTCTTCATCGGAATCAGGTGCCCCAGGTGGCTGACGAGCACGCCTAGGGGGCATCTTGCTAATTAAGACTAGACCTAATAAGCTCCAATTAGTCTGATAGCATGAAAAATACACATAAACACAAGGAATAAACATTAAATGCAATGCATGCCATGAATGCACCCAAACCCGACTAAGCCCATAATCTAATTGCTTTTAGAAAATTTGAAATCTTCAAGTTTTATTAACCAAGAAGCATGAGCCTTTAACTTGGCTCTGATACCAACTGTAACACCCCGGCCGGCTCAAACCGGAGCGTCACCGCCACGCCACACCGGAAGGCTCTTTCATCAACCAACGAGTCCTACGTTGTGGCGCTAAGGCTTAAATAATAAATACCAACAACTCATAGGAACTTAAAATTAAAGCGCACCGGCTCGTCAATTAAGTAAATAAAGTTCAATTTAAAACATAAATTGGAAATAGTACAAAATGCAGTAGTCTTTAAACACAATCAACGAATTTCAAAACATTTTAGAAGGTAAGGTAGTTCTCATTTCCCCCGATGGATCACATGATGTGAATGCATCATTTAGGCATAACGGAAGCATGATCACCTACAAAAAGAATCGTAAGTAGGGGGTCAACACAACGGTTGAGTAAGCGCAATTAATCGAAGATAAATTAATACGATATAATGCCACAAAATCATTTGAAGAAGATAGTCGAATAAAATGACACGTATCACATAAGGGGAACTGACACACACGAGTCTTTTAGCGCCTCCCTTATACCTCATTTTCATTCTCAAATAATAGCGATGAGCACATCACGAAGAAAACTCCACTAGGCCTTAATCAGGGCCGGCTCGACCCGGTTTTCCAACCTTATTACTTCGTATGACACGTCACATAATTTCAAATAACAAACATAGGGTCATAACCCTCAAAGGAAACTTCACAATGTGTACATAAGGGTTCGAAATCAAAAGTACACGTAAATCAATTTATTATTAGTTGGCGAGGGGCGCCATACGGCCCACAACCCTCTAGTCTCCAATATAACATACCAAGAGGGGATTGTACGCAATCTATCCCTCCATCATGGATGACGGTCTAAAGACCTTTCCATCGTGAATGACGGGCACCTCGGAATCACCCTAAAAGGGACCCCGCCATCTCGATCTCTCGACCGAGCCCATTCGGGATCTAGTTCAAGGTTAGCTAGTTATCCTAAAATACCGGTATACCCTCACGTGTTTGCAAGGCACAGAGGTGGAAGGCTATGCCTTATCATCCAAACAATCGACGAGTTGATCGGACTCGACGGGTAGTTTCAATTACCAATTTGACCAAATACTCAACATGCTCTTAGGCAAATTTCAAAAAGAGTGTTTTAAACTCAAAATATTCCAATTGGCAACATTTAATCAATCAAAAGTAGGATATTAGACCCAACAAGTTCGTTATAATCACACTTTATTTCGCCAAATAAACATTCGAAAAATATTTCAATCACAATAGGCATGGTCTAATTCCAAAAATCATGATATTTAAATATAATCGTAAATCCTTTTCCAAAAACCATAACTAGGTTAGGGAAAAACCAGGGTTTCAAACTCATCCCAAAAATTCTACGATTTTCAATTTAAAATTCAATAATAATCTTCACATAAACATTATAATCAACTTTATAGAAGAAATTGGCAAAACCTAACACTTTAGGGGCAAACCCATTTGACGAGAATATTGAAAAAGATATCAATAGAAGGGTCTAGGGATTAGAACATATGAATCTATCTAAGATTAATCCCACTTACCTCAAGAGAAGAGACCAAAAGGAAGAATTTTGGAGAAGAAGAACTCCGAGGGAGAGCAGGGGCTGGCGGCGGCGCTGGCGGGCGTGCTGGCTGCTGCTGCTGCTCCTTTTTTTTTTATTTATTCTTTTATTTATCATAACATACTTAATCCTTTATTAATTATTTTATTTTACTTTGGCCCAAACTCAATTTTTACTTATAATTTAAACTCAACCCTTTAATTTATTACATTAAAAGACCAAAATAAATTATGCCCAAAATGAAATTTGTCCAACTCCGGCAAACTTCCAGCGATTATTTTACGGAGTATTACAATTTTAGCTATGAAAAATAATTTTGTAGCTAAAACTTTTATGCTACGAAGATGGAATTTTCTAACAAAATGATTTTAGCAAAGAAATTAATTTTGTAGTACATAATTTGTTTGTATCAATGAAATTATTTTTTGTTGCTAAATGACGCGTTGTAACTACGAAATATTAGTTAAAAGTATTGTAACTAATTGGATACTTTTTTGTAGTGTCATTTTGAGTATTTGGTTGCAAGATTTTCGTTGAGCAAGTTAGTGATCCAAGCCTGTTCTTTTTGATGGATTACAATAATAAATAATTAATATATTGATAGAGATAACGTGTTTAAAAGATAAAATTTTCAATTCCATACTTCATGTTGGCTTGCCATCGCCATTTTGAAAAGTGAAATGATTAGGATTTTGTTAGAGCATGTGCATCAGTGGATTTTCTATTCAAGACTTCTTCCATCAACTAAAGCTCTTTGATATTTCGTGCTTTTTTTTTTTTTTAAACTTTTTGATGAAACAATTTTAGTTTTTTTTTTCTTTTTAATATTTTACTCTCTCGTCCATGTTCTTAAGGTATACTTTTTATTATTTTTGTTTGTTCAAAAGTACAATTTGATATTTACATCACAATTGAAATAAATACAATGTGATATCAATTTTTTTGCATAAAAAAATGCACAAAATCCCTCCATTCTACAACATGAGATCTTTAAAGCCATAAATAAGATAAACAAAAGAAAAAAAAAAAAAAAACTAAACAACAACAATTTGCAAATCCAAAACAAAAGTTCTCTACTATTTTAGAAGTGTGTTCAAACCCTTTTCTATCCCCCAAAGCATAAGCTTACACTAGACTAGCTTAATCTAAATATGCACATATAGATATATGACCTGTCGCGCGGTCAATCAAATATTTCACCTAATCCGTGATCACAATTTAACGTAATATAGGGGAAGGGATCGTCTCCACAGGGATTGTGTGATTCACTCTTCGTGTTCTAATGCAGTAAATAAAGGGGGAATTTTATTTTATTATCTAATGAAAATAAAATAACAAAACAATTAAATTAAGGGGAAATTGACTATAAGGGGATGCCTGGCTCAAGGGATGATGCAGTTATGACACTTGTGTCTTATCATTAATTCAATAAAATTAATTCTTATTAAAGTATCAATAAATTGGTTATAGTTATCAACAAGCTCTGACAACCAATTTTTCCTTACAGTGTAGGTAATTAAGGTACGACCGTTAACTACCCCTAATTAAGCAAATAAACCTAGGTGCGCCCATAAGAATATTGCCTAACCGCATTGTAATCTAGAAAAACCCAATTCAAAACAATTACTACCTAGGATGAGCAATTAGATTTGATTGTCTCACCCCCGGGAAGGAACTATTCAACCCGATTGTCACATATTCAAGTGCGAATACAATTACGGATATCCTACGTGAATTGACTTTAGATTATCAGACTAATTTAAATATCGGTACCAAAATATTCAAGCAATCTAACAATCACAAACGCTATTCTCAGAATTAGACAAATATTGATAATCAAAAAGAACTTTTATAAAGAAAATCAAGAATCTCCAAAATGAAAGAACCAAAACATTATCACCCCTCAAACCAGAAAAGTATCTACTCCATAATCAAATAACAAAGAACAAAAGAGAAAGATGAAGTCATAGTGAGAGGGGGAAATTTTCTCTGTCGATTTGCTCCTGCGCGATCTATTAATCTGTCAGTCTCCTGCTCGCGTTTCTGCCCTAGCCGTCCTCTCTTGCCAAATAGGCGTGTCTTTTTCTTCTTATTTAATTTTTGCCCAAATTATTTTGTAGATGGGCTTTTGGGCCTTTAATTAGTTTTATTTTCTTTTTTCTGCCAATTATGCCAAATTTAATATTTGCCCTCTCCACACAGCAAATAAACAATTCGCATATAAATTAGGTAGAATCCAATCAAAATCACCCAAATATCGCATATGATATGAATATAAAACGCATACGATTTCTAACTATCAATATATATAATCATCATCATACAATCATATCAAATGAACTAATTACCAAAATTTGATTACATTGAATGATACATTAATATATATATATCACATGGGTACAATTTTTAGTTTTTAAAAATTTACCTCGTATGTACCCTATGAAATGTTGTCAAGACATCCTCCAGGAGACATAATCTGCAGTGGAAAAATAACAAAATGAAAAATTGCAACACATATTAATTTGGTACTTAAACTGATCTCTTCAGATCCTAATAAGGCAATGAATGTTATGAAATCTACGAATAAGAATCTGTATATGTGCGTACGTCGATGTGATTCTGAAGGTGCTTCAGCCTCTTCTTCGGGCGCCTGGGTGGCCTCATCCCTCCTGTCATAGAAATTAATTTTATTCTCTTTGATCTCACGCTGAGTCAGAGGGACCGTAATGCTCAGCTCTATGTTCTTTCCGATCACCATACGGGGCCTCAGGTTTCAAGTCTTCACTTCTTCATAGGTGTCATCCGCTAGTTTTGGGTCCTTCTGC